GATTACCAACAGAAGTGTGAGGATGTAGAACAAATAAAACAAGCAAAAGATTTTTCACCATGTATATGTACACATGGGTGTCCATAATTAAACTTCGGATTTGCGAGCAGTCTGTAGCAAAAGCTATACAGCGGAATTGCATGAAAATTGGGTAATGGCAGAATGAAATGATGGGAATTTTATCAACGGGGAAAAAAATGAGTTTCAAAAACCACCACTAGGTGGCGTATCATAGCTTTATGAAGAACATATAAATAATCTACAAAAGTTTACAAAACATGCTCGATATGGTGTCCACTGTTGTCTGCTACCCTGGAAGCGTAAATCGTATGTTCGATTGTTGAAATCAGCATGAACTGGGGAGTGTTACGCACATAGCGTTCCTTGCCTTCTTTAAAGTCGGATAGAGATGTGATGGGATCACCGGAGACCATGGTCTTGAGATATTCCCACAGCCAGAAGTCGCAAGGATTCAAGTCAGGGGATCTAGCAGGCCAAGCTGTAGGAAATACCCGGTTGATGATTCTGTCATCATCGAAATGGCGACGGAGCACTTGTTTCACACAACGGGCGATGGTGTGGAGAAGCACCATCCTGCGTAAACACTGTGGTTGTATCACATCGCCTTGCCAAGAGCCAGAGTAACGGATTGCTCTAATAATGAAGCGTATCGTTGGCCGGTGCCGGTGCATGTTACAAGGCCTGCGTCGATATGCTCTTCGGAAAAAAAAAAAAAAAAAAAAAAAAAAACGGACACACAATGAAAGTTGCAGTAAAGCCGCACCAAACCGTTATTGTTTTGGGTTTGAAGCAGGCAATTGTGCGTGTTAATCGCACCTTCCATATGGAAGTGGGCTTCGTCGTTCCAATGACCATTCATCCTGGAGCTCATCTCGCGCAAGAAACAGCAACGCAAAAGTTTGTCGACTATCCAGATCAGCTGGAAAGAGCTGCTGCACTAGCGATAGTTTATAGGGTAAGACCTTTTGAAGAATCTTGTGAACCATGGAACGAGGTCGGTCAACAGATGCTGTAATACACCGAACACTAGTGCTGCCGATGGTTTGCGATCTGTCTTCTTTCACTTGCGTCGCTACATCATCCACTACCTGTGCCGCAACACACTTTCGTCCCCTTCCTGGCTGAATTCATAATGTTCCCGTTGCTTTAAATTTCCTAATCGTGTTTTGTTAATCCTTAACTAATAAGTAGGACCTTTCGTAAACGCTTCAAAGACGAAATTTACGCAAAGTTCCGGTGGCAGAGTCTCCGCTTTCGTAAAACAATTTCTCCAGTAAAGCACGTTCGTGGACGGTCAACGCCATCTTTCTCGGCTTGGAAACGAATATGACTGCGGTTCGCCTCTCGTATCTTTGTAAGGTTTCTGTGCGCACACAGGATTACTATAGTTACGACATTTGCATATGCCAATAGTTTACATTGCACAGCGCTATCTAGTGGTGGTTTTTGAAACTAATTGTTTTTTCCCCACAATAAAATTCCCATTATTTCATTCTGTCATTACCCAATTTTCATGCAATTCTGCTGCATAGTTTTATAAATTTGAAGTTTAATTATGGACACCCTGTATATTTTATTAGTCCAAAAGAGCAGTTTATCCATAAGGACTACTAATTTCATTTTGGCATTTTGCGTTGAGTCAATACAACCGTTGTTTCACTTTTTCAAATTGTTGCCACGAAATATTATCGCCCTGTATTTTATTTAAACAAATTCAATAATGAAGAATCTGCATAAATGTATGTATGTTTCTCGCATTGTGATAAAAAATATGCCTAGACCCCCCTCCAATTTTGAATAACGTAATCCTGCGAATATGGGCATCTGGAAGCCCAAATTTTAAATTTCTTTTATTATCGATTTCAGATTTTGTAAAGCATTTATGAGTTTTTGATTAAGAAGCTCACATTTTTGTCTTCAGTGCGCAAGACTGTGTATCGGAAATTTTAAAGATATGCTATTTTAAATATTTTGTAATAATGCTGTTGAATTAAATTTTATGGTTTAAGTGCGAAGAACATGATGTTTAATAAATAAAGGTGACACAAAATGTAAAAACAAAAAACACCCTTTGGGCGTAATTTAAAATCTAAAAGCTTTCAGATTTTTTTACAAAATTTTTATTTATTACATTTATTCATTCTAAATGACCCTGTGTAAAACTGATCGATGATATGAGAAATAAGCACATCTAAGAAGTCTGCTGTTATATTCCTAGTAAATGTTAAATTTATAAATTAATTGCCAAGTGTATTTGAATAGTTACTTGGCACCATATTGAGATTAAAATGATGTTTCATAAAATCATATATCTTTTCATTTCGTCTTAAACACGGCAAACGCTACCCGAGCAAACCAACTGTCTATACTCGACTGTCTACCAGAAAGTCCAGCCACTAAGCGAAATAAGAGAAAATGCAGCAAACACCACTCGAATAATTTAATCCCTTTACTTGAGGTAATTTAACGCTGAAAGGTAGGAAGGAGTATTGTTGATGCCGCCGCCGGTGGCAGTACTTGTAATAGTCGCCGGATTCACAATTTCCAACACGACTCGAGGAAATGATGCCAGAATGTTGTTAGTTTTCTAGTTAGTGTATGGGGCTAATGCCTACTTTCTTATATAAATATTAGGTGGCCTCCTCACTTCTGCATAACATAACCCAAACATACTGATTGTCTACGCGCGAAGATGACCTTCCCACTCGCATGCGCGCGGAGCTTTGACATCACCGAAATTTCGCCGTTACTGAGACGTTTCTATGGGTATATCCTTTGTCCAGTTCTTTTTTCCCCATTTCTTTCTTGTGTTTACTAATATGCTTTTTCATCTGTCTAAGGATATATTTAGATTGATTGTAACATTTGTAATTTCGAAGATATAATTTATCGCTCTCGTATAGTGTCGTAATTTTTTCTTTTCCATCAGATAATTATGGAGGAGCGTAATCCTACCTTAAAAGTCAGAAAACAACTTTTCAAAAATCTTAAAATTCTTTGAGAATAGTGATCTCGGTTTATACCCCTAATTTTTTTCCCCAGGGATAAGCCTCAGATAGTACTATCTGTAATATGGTTTTCGTTTGGAGGTGGAAAACAGCTAAAAACAGTACTGACTGAACGTATAGTCAATAAGACCTGCAACCACAATTAAACTTTTACAATCCTATAATGCAACTACAATGGTTTAATACTCAGTCGTTAAATACATGCTGCTCTTTTGTCAGATGTATGCACCTGTGTATGTACCTATTTATAATCATTCATGTGTATACGTCGCACCTCTGATTTTCATGTGCGGCTTATGCACGAAAGAATCCAAAATCTAGAATACTGGGATCAGTCCAATCAGAACTCTGTCATTTTTAACCAAAGTTTAGTATTCTGATCTATTTCTTTCCCTTTTCACTGTCGCTCTTGCTTCAGTGGAAGAAATGTGAAAAATACAAATGTAATTGTTTAAAACTGGGCGTGTAATTTAGCTGTATCTCTTTCAAAAATGGCTTCTTTTAGTTGTCAGTGTTCTCATAATCCTGTGTTAGCCCGCCCTCTCCTTCCATATTCATTTCCCGTGTTCTTATGATCTGTGTTAACTTTTATATTTCGTATTCTGTGCATGTGTTCTCATGATATCTTTTCTTTACCTCTTATTCAATGTCTATAATTTTATGGTCTTCTGTTATTTTTATTTTGTTTTATTTTTATTTCATATGCTCTCGTGGTCTTTTGTTAGTTTGCCTGCCCCCTGTGTATTCAGTTCCTGTGTTCTTGTGATCTTTATTACTTTTTCATTTCATTTCGTTTGGTATTCACTGTCTCTATTCCATTTTTTTTTTCTGACCCCGTTTTTAGTGCCTGTATTTTCTGACCTGAAGATTTTGTGAGTATATCTGCCTAATGTCTGAGTTTTCATGATTTTTGTTTACTTTTATATTTTTTCTGTTGATATGTCTTTGTAATTCTTTTTTTTTTACTCCGTATTCAAGGTTTGTCCCTTATGATCTGTTAGTTTTTTCTTTTCAGTTTATGTTTTCTCATGATCTTTTTGTTAGTCTGATCCCTCCCTGTATTCAGTTCTTGTATTTCCATGACCTTCGTTACTTTTCATTTCTCATTTCCTATTCAGTACTTGTGCCCTTACTATCCTTTTTTTTTTTACATTTTCGATGCCTATGTTTTCTTGAGCTTTTGATAGTTCTTCATCTTCCCTTCGTATCAATGCCTGTTTTCTCGTATGCTCCTTGTATTAGTCCCCCTCCCGTCTTCAATGCCTGCGTTCACATGATTTTTTGTTAGGGCCCTACCCTAGATGCATGTGTTTTTCTCGTTCCTTTTGTTAGTATTTTTTTCCATATTCCATGCCAGTATTCTCATGTGAATCCCCCCCCGATGGGATCCCCCCGAAACATAGGTTCCCTCCCCGATGCCTATGTTTTCATGAGCTGTTAGTTTTCTTTTCGTATTCAGCGCCTATGTTCTTATAAACCTTTGTTAGCCCCTTCCGCTGCATTTAGTGTTTTGTCATCATCTTTTGTTAGCCCGCCCTCAAAGGATGCCTATGTTTTCATGAGCTCATGATTTGTTTGCTACTTCCCCCCCCCCTTATTCAGTGCCTGTGTTTATGTTGAGCCTTTGTTAGCCCCCTTTGACGCATTTAACTGTCTGTGAAATTATGTTAAATGACTGTGTTCTCATGATCTTTTGTTAGATTTTTAAAAGGTTTATTTAAAATAAAGTGGAGTAAATGCACTGATTAATCAAAATTTTTGCTCCTTTTACTTATGGGTGGAAAGTCATCCCCCCCGTTTTGTTATACTTTTTTTTACGGTAAGTTTTACTTAGGGTGGAATTTAGTTAGTATTACTTAACCCAGCCTATCAGTGTTTGGGATGATCCATGAGTCACGGATAACAGCCGTGTTAACTTGTTTTGAATGAATTCTAAATAGCTTCTTATATCTTCTAATGTCTCTTCTGTAGTGTTCCAAGCAGTTATGACCGCAACGGAAGCGACTGACCCCACCAAAGAGCCCGTCACTGGATTTATAGTGCTGGATATTGCTGCCGATGGCTATATTAACTATAAGGTAACGTATGTTCTGAAAAATGAAAGAATTTCTCGTTATTATTCCACTTAAGCTTTGCATCATTCTACTTAAGTATTAGTTTTAATCGTTAAGTGTATGATCATGTGCGCTTTCCACAAAAAATCTTTATTTTCACAAATATTGATCGTAGACACTAAGTGCACTAAGAACCCTTATAAGTGGTATAGTGCACGTATTGACAACTAAATAATAAGTTTTGAGGCAGACATTTTTTCATATATTGAAGTAACCACTCTAAACTTAGCTAACCTTCTTTTTAACTTAAACTATATAAATTTCGAAATATTTCGTGTGAAACAAGAGAGATTTCTTGAGAATAAAGAATGATAACCTATTCTCTTTCCTTTATTTATTAAACGTTTCTTCGGTGCGTACAAAAACAGATACATATATTCGTATGTAAATGATTCTAAGCTTCTTTATTTATTACTACAACTTTAAGCTACAACACCTAATGACGTTCCGATTTTGTTAAAGTGTGTAACATTCGAGAAAAATTACGGTAAACTATCATCATGCTCATCGGTAGATCTGGTTCTCATTTACATTAATTTTCATCTGCGGTATGTATTCCTACACAAAGGAAAAAAATTCTTAACTGAGCTTATTCTTTGACAAGTACAAGTAAAAATTAAACCAATCTGTCTCTTCAAATCCTTGAATGATATTTATATCATAGTTTCTCCATTTGAAAATTTTCTAAGACATTACTCGCGTTCGTTTTGAATGGTAATGAAATTTGGATCCAAATCATTAAAACTTTTAAGCGTTTTCACATTAATGTCGTAATAATGCTTATTAATGGGAAATGTAATCATGTGAAATTGCTTGGGAAGCTGCCAGTTTTGAGAACACTGACCTAAAGAAGTATTACCAATAAAAAATTTGTTCATTCCGTTATTTTACAAGATCTTATTCGGTGTTCATTATTTTACAGATGCATATCAGCGATGCGAATATAGACGTTGTTCATCTACAGCTGGAAACAGATGTCGAGACCCCAAGTGGCACCGGCATGCGATTATTGCAGCAAGTTGCACAGAACATGACAGATACATGGGTAAGCAAACTAGATTTTATGCAGCTGTGAGCAGAGTGCGTGACGTTTCTAAAAACATTATCAGAACTTTGTATGTCTTTTGATTTGTTTCGGGAATATGACGTGTCCAGAATAGGAGTATTAGTTATCCAGAATCCAGAATAGGGAATCCAGAATCCAGAATAGGTATCCAGAATAGGGAGCTTACTCCAGCCATGTTTAAACATGTGTGGAATGGACGACACAAGCAGGAAGGGTTAATTTTACCCTTTATTGTCTACGATATTACATGTGCTCTCGCACTTCGGGATACAGAGAATAACCACTTGTGGTCTGAACTTAAAAATATAAATAACTACTAACTAACTAAAAATAAGAGTTAACTGCGAGTGCTTTACACAATTGACTAATGCTAAGACTGGCCTTTTAAATTATTACGTATGTAGTACACAAACTGCCAAAACTACAATGCGTTTTAAATATTAAGAGGATTAAACCTCTGGTGGACTAAAAACTCGCGTGTAATACAATGGCAAGGCGGCTCACTTTCTCTCTATATAACTGCTTTTGGCGAAAAGCCACAACTTAAATACTTGGGCGTTAGCAAGTACAACTTGCATAAGCATATTCACCCGTTTATTCTGACCGGAAGTGGAAAATAATAGATGATAGTAAAGTTTTAAAATAAACGTTATTTAAGATCCTTACAACATATCCGAAGATACATATTTGTATTTATGTAAAGGACATTATTATATGTGTTTAATGTAATGATAAAATGATTCCGTTCGAAGTACTGTACTCCCCAATGTATTTTAACATGTCTGTTGAAGGTCGGTCTATTATATGATAATTATTATCAAAAAACGTGCATCAGATAAGAACATTTATTCATTCACATTCAGTTAAGAACAATTCAGCTGTGGTGCAAGATATTTGTCAAACAGGTTGAAGATGCTAATAAAATTCAGAAGTGATAATTAATAGAACTAATGCTAAAGAACTATCCAAAGAACTTTTAAATATTAAACACAGTAATTTTACTATAGTTTATAATAATAATATGTGTAATTAGATGTAATTTTAATTAAAAATTTAAGACTTGTTTGCATTGAAAATTTCAAATTTATTTGTTGTTCGTTTAATTAATTAAGTTATTGTTTTATTTTAAGTGATCGTAAATTGTAATATGTGTATACTTCTAATGTTTAATTTAGTTATATTTTAAGTGTTTTATCTAGCTTTATTGTTATGTTTATTATTTATCTTACTGTGTTTGTTGTTACGGTGTAAACACAAAGTTTGTGGAGCAGAATCTCTGCCACCTCCACATTTATATATATGAAATTTGAATATATAAATTTATATATATCAAATCTGTTGTTAATACACTTACGATATAGCATCCTAAGGGATCTCACGGCAGGTGTTTTTGTCTCCAGGTAGGAAAAGATATGGGATAAAAAATACCTGCTTAACCCTTATAAGCTTCCCCATCTTCTGTCACCAGTCCTTTCAACTTTATCTATTAAACATTTTCTTTGCATTTACCACATAAAATTCAACAGCAAAATCATAATTTTTTAAAAAGCAGCCTATCTTTAGTTTTCCCGATAGGGTGTTAAGTGTTGCTATGCATGTTTTTTATATTGGCAACCTTTCATTTACTTTACACACATGTTTTTAATCTAGCATGTTTTAAAAAACTATTAACTTTTATTCGGTTTAAAAAAGCGACCTTATGTTTAGTCTAAAGACATACAAATATAAATATATTTTTAGTTCAGAGATAGAAATATATGAATAGGTACTTTCACAGCGTTTTAACTAGGAAATGTTAAAGTTTTCCCACGAATTGTTTATGATGCCTTTAATTGCAAAAGTTAATTTATCAACTCTTTCATAATGTTTCTAGAAATTATTTGACCGATGCTGTACAGCTAATCCTAATACTCGGAGATTATCCGTTATATCATCATTTATAAGGAATTTACCGATTTCATCTTTATGTTCTTCAGATAATTGATGTGAAACATGATATGCTTGGATAGCTTATGTCGCCGTTTTCTGCCCGAAGAATACAGACCCATGTCTGATCGCTCTCGAAATCAATACAGTTACTGAAATTCTACCCCCACAGTAAACAAAAGGTTGTTTTTTATATTTAACAGAAGCTAATAATTTTTAACTTGGTTTAGAAGCGTTTTTTTAACTCTAAAGGGTGCTAGTGTAATCTTTAGTTTCTATTAGCAGCCTTTTGTGTATTTTAAAATAGTACATGGCGGCAACATTTGATGGTAACATCTTTTTATTTGAAAAGTGATACGGTAGTCGATGAGTGATGCTACGGGAGTACACAAAAGGAAGAAGATGCCAGATGCAAAAGTGAGGATCAAAATCAACACCCCTCCCTGGTGCTTAAAAAAGAAAACAAATCATGCAAAATTGAACCTCTGTTTCGATTTCTATGTTTTCCAGTCTGCAAAGCTTTACGATGATAAGAAGTTATACTGGGAATACACAGGAAAAAAAAGGAAGACAGCAACTGCGTGAGAACTACGATGACATGACATCAGAGACAGCCACGAACATCTCAACATAAGAAAATCATCCGCGCGTGTCGGTCCTTTTTATAAAGCCGTTCACCGAAAAAACAAAAAGAGAGAAAGAAAAACGTCGAGACGTCTTTCGCGCGCTTAAAGTTCACAGAGGACACGAGCAGCAGCATAACACTTCCTGGCAGCGGCAAGAGTTAACGGCCTACGACGAGAAGAAATACGGATGGCGGCCATGAGAATGAGGTCTCTCGTCTCACCCTCCCCTCGGATGGCTCCTAAATAAGGTGGCGCTCATCTGGGGGTTGCTCTGCTCCTTGGTGGTGAGACGAGTTTGTTTTCTCTTCCGTCGTTGTTTGGCGATTAAGCCAGTTCCCAAAACAGCAGTTTTGTTCTCATTTGAGCTTTAGAGAAAAGGATTCACTAATTGTATCACCGATTCAGCTAGACCGAAAAATATCTTCTCATTTCATTTGGTTTTGTTTCAAAGGAATAAACATTGACATATTAAAGAATTATTCTATAAATAACAGAAAGTAAAGTCCATGCTTCCAGTGGCATAACCCTTAATTTATCATGATTTATTCTGCTGGAGTATGATCATGTATAGCAGGTATAACTAAACTGCGAACTGCGGTCCTTTGGGCCTCTTGCGTAGCAATTTAGTTGTATTAGATGATAGTCTACATTCAGAATATACGTTCAATTTTCATGTATAAACTATACAGTGGCACATTTCTTTATAAGTACAAATTTATTACTTTAAATTATGTATGTGATCATTTAATCCATTTCAAACTATCCGCCGCATGTTTTTTGTCAGAGTAACAAGTAATTCTATTTCTGCCAACTGCTGTTACGCCTTGTTGCTTTTAAAACAGAATAGCACAAAATAAATATACAAATGTGAAGGTACCTTAAAAAGTAGTGCTGCCTGCTTTTTTTCTTTCAGGTTAATTATATTTTAGGCAGTTTCTGCTGCTGTGTAGTAATGCCTTTTACTTCACAACAGTCATGATGCAATATCTTGCAACATTTACTATTTCTTGTAAAGCCTGTCTTTCATTCAGCCCTTGAATGACTTGGGGAACTTCTGAAGAAACCTGTTTTAAAGAGGAAAATCACTTCCACGGAATTTGGAGCAAGAGTTGAAATTTGAGGATTTTGTAGTTTGTGAGGCTCGTACTGGTTAGGAGATTTGTAAGACCTTTATCATGTGCCTTCAGAATTAATTTCCCATCCCTAAGTCAGATCACTTTTTATGCAATTTTTTTGCAACCACTCACCGTAGTATGCTGCAGTTAAAATTTTTTTCCCCTCAAACTCTTTATATTTCGTAATAATTTTAAGCAGAGATCTACATTTATTTCACCAGTGGTTGAGTATCTTGAAATTTTTCAGGTCGCAGGAAAAAGGAACTTCTGCGCTAACAACGATTTAAATAGTTGGCCAAAGTTTTCTTGTTTCGTTTTTTCAACTGCCATTATTCAAGACGTAAATCTTTCACCTTCATCATCAGTTTATCACATCAAGCAGTGAGAGATCAACTAGACATAAGCTTTTCCCCTCATCAAAGTTTCTGTCAAAATACAATATACTGATGCTTGTGAAATCTTTTTAGCTTGTGATATTTTCTCGTACGTTGCTTGACGAACTTCTTTCTCTCTATCTCGACACCAAATACTGCATTAGGTTAGGGCCGGCTAGGCTTCCTGCCGACCAGTACCTCTAGAATTTTTCGTTCCTTATTTCTGCTGCCTAATGCAACTACATCGGCTGCCGCGACTCTGGTGCTAGCATTGTACTTGTTTAATTTGTTGATATTTTTGGTCTTCCTAATCTTTTATCATCATGTATATCTTACAGGTCCTTAACAAAAAAGCATTGCAACGTTATACTACGATCGGATGCCTGATCAGTCAAATATCGCGCAGTTTTATGTGAAATTTTGTTTACCCCGTAAATTTCCAGTAACAAGTATGATCTCTCACGTTCTGAAGTCACTGTGCACCCATATGCTTCCAGACTCGATTTCAGATATTTATCTTCTGTTCATAAGTTATGTAACCTTCGGGTTGACGATTAAATTTTTAAAATGTGTATTTATTTTAAGCATTTTAAGTTATTTTACTCCGAAATTTAAAACGAAGCAGCACAAATTAGACATCGGGTCATTGTAAGTCACTTGACTACTTTTACGGATCCAACCAGTTAACTGTTAGAATAGGGTGGATCCGTACACTCGTGTGGCAAGACCTGAGAATCGTGTAGACATAGAAATTTGGAGAGTTTAATTAATATTCATGCTGCATATGTATTGCTGTATATGTAACCAAGGCAACCTGTAATATGTAATCTACGTCCAAGGGTTGCGAAAATAAGGGAAAGACTTTCCGGATATGGTGTTGTGTTGAAATAGAAAGGCCGTTGAAAGTACACTGAAATACAAAAGCTTGCACAAGAGTA